AACTCGCTCACTTATTCGCATTTTCTAGCTGGGTTTGATTTGTCGGAACTGGTAGTCCCTCACTGAATATGGCATAAAGTCGAAATTCGTTTGAGTAACGTACAAACTCGTGAGTGTAGACCAAGTTTAATTCAACATGTTTTCACCGACTAGCAGAACAACATCCATTGCCATTCTTTATTCATTAAATTAGGATGTCTAAATTATTTATCAAAAATACAGTATCATATTATATACAGTTTTCAGTTTTAATTTTTAAAAACATTAAAATCGTGATTTGTTGACATTCTTATAAAAATGTTCGAATACTCACCTATTATTTGTGTGTGATGTATTTGTTTCAAATTAGCAATATTGCCGACTAGGTCTATTAATCTTTGTTGTTCGGAGCAATTGGATTCAACACTAAATATCCTGGTCCTGTTTTTCCTGATCAAACTAAAAATTTAACCTATTTCCGACCTCTGCCGGTTTTCGCATCCCTAGGTGTGGATCTCCTACTTCGTCCACACATCGGGTCAACCGAATGACTGAAGAAAATTCCAAATAGTCAGTGCACAATTTCGCTTAGTTTGACCATATAGCAGAAAAGTTCATACTAAGTTAACCCAGCAGTATACTTCAATGATGAAATATGATTAAAAATTCTTACATATAATTTTATGCAAATCTGTTTTTGAAACTGTCGTCCTCCCAACAGTAACGCTCAAGTAACGCGGGACAGACGGTAACCGGTAAGTACATAAGCCGTTAGTTCACAACTCATTAACCACAAGTTATTAATGGAACCTCCAACTAGCAAATTTCTCCTGTAATCGGTTCAATGGCAATAGTTATCGGACTTGGGGTTTAACCGAGAGTTGCCATTTTCATGCCTCCAAGGACTTCGGTGACTTTTAGACCGTGGCGAATCTCACCTAATAGCCTCATTCACAGAGCCTTAATAACTGGATGGAACAATCATTAAAAGCGTTTTATTTACTTTTCTTTACAATCCTTTTTGAATCTATGGCATCTTTATTAAGAATTTCAGTTTTAAAACGAAGGGATGATCGTTTTACCCTTTATTCAATTTCTGCTCCTGGCGAAATAAAGTTAGAAACTTTTGTACTTAAATGCTTTTTATATTCAATGATTTAACGGTACGTTATTAATTACAGAAATGGAGGAAACTTTATAATAATTAATTTATTACTTCCCAGACGTATGTTACATTTTTTAATGGAGGCTACCCGCTAATGGAGTCTTATCAGCCCCCAATGAACTGTGAGGTTCGATCGGTACTCGATATTCCACCATTTACTTACTGACTCTCATAAACTTTATACATACACAAATACATTATACATAAACAGTGCGTTACATACAATAAATTATATATGTATACAAACATACATTATATGCAATGTTTACACTACAAAGATTTGGAAACACCCCTGTTTCCTTTAAAAATCCAAACAGGGGACTCGACTACATACTCTTATGTCGGGTACCAAGCCTACTCGCTCCCTGAAAGGGGACAAGGCCTGACACTCCACGATCACTGCGCACTCTTTCTCTACAAGCGGGATACCTGCACAGGGTTTTTCCCCAAAAGGAGGTGTCCGTGTGTTAATCGTGTGTGGCGTATCATGAAACGGGTGAGCACAATCCCTTTCCTGCGTGTCTGACCATCGGAGTGCCATCGCTCAGTCGTGCTCTAGATGTGCAAGAATATCTCTCACTATCCGGCTTTGTCGCCGCCAACATTCTTTATTGCTCGTACAACGTCACTAGGCCGGATCGCGGTGGTCCTGTCCGGAGGACGAGACGTCCCAGGTTTCGCCGCCTCGTCTGCACGTTCGTTGTCCTCTAGCCCAACGTGTCCAGGTACCCAAAAGACTGCAACGTTTTTCCGAGACGCTCCAACTCAACATATCTCTCTAATAAGAGGAAGGACAAGAGGGTTCACCGTGAATCTGCCATAGATACCCAAAACCGCACTTGGGGAGTTAGTACAGACGACAAAGGCAGAGATACGAATCAACCCGAGCGCATGCCACCAAGTCGAGGTGCCTCCGGTATACACGGCGCAAGCCCTACCATCGCTCGCCCTCGATCCATTCGTAAAGACGAGGCAAAAACCGGCGAACCCCGATTTGACATCTAGGAACGCAGCACTGTAAAGGTGCGACGGTATACTTGACCTGGCTAGTACCGCATACAAAAAATAATTGATTCACTTGAAAAAAGTAAATGTATCCTTTAAAAAAATACATTTTTTATTTTTTTATAATAATAGAAAAAGCAAGAGTTATACTAAAAATTTGAAAGTCAGAAATTTAAAAGTGAATGGGACGACAAACCCCTGTGAGATTGCGAATGTTGGTTCAAATTAAATAGAAATAAGTGGATCCCCTCTGCCTTGCAGGACTTCTAAACATTCATAAACTTAATAATCGCATATTACACTTCTATTATTTGATAACAAGTAAGATTTTGTGGAAAATTAACAAAAAATATAAGCAAAAATTATAAAGGTTGCATAAACCACCGACTCGTAGCGCTCTATTGCAAGATCCACACTAATAGTGTGATTAGTTTATAGTTTCAAGTCATTTCTTCTATCTGGGTTGGATGAAATATTGAGGAATGAGTTTTTAGTGATACGAAGATTGACTTCTTTCTTGGCTCGTAGAGCTAGTGGTCGTGGGTTTTATATATATATAGTCACGTTCCTTAGATAATATGCAAAGTTCATAAGGCGAAACCTCGGACTTCTAGTCCCGTACGTTCATAATGGTTTGATTGTAAGCTATAAGGCAGGGTTTTTTACGTAGTGAATAGCTGGATCGTTTTCAATTAATGAGAGGAATTTTGAACACTTATTCACTTTTTGTCTTAAAATGGAGACCTGTATTATCAGTCGTTGTTAGTAAGGACCTTTAGCTCCACCTCAAAAGAACCCAACAAAAGCTCTAGCTTACAAAGCTTGCTGTAATAAATATTTAAAAAACTGCAGATCAGTAATATATAAAAATCATAGTCATTATTTAGACCACAAACAATACATTTTAATAGAAAATTGTGAATGTTGAACGGAGTAAATTCTTTTAAAATATTTCTCACAAACGAACAGGATGATCATAGCAGGCTGGCCATTATTTGGTTAATGAAACATTTTATTAAGGCAAAACTATACATTTTCTTCATATCTGAAGTTAAATAAGGTGATATTGAATGATATAAAGTTCCTTTGACGTTCAGAACAAGCGACATATTTTGTCGTAATTATTTATTTATAACATTACCAACGTTACCGTTTACAATTTTTTCTTAGCCACGTGCAAACGTCAAAAATCGATTTTACCCTTTGAAAAGGTTTTGCCGTTTGACAAGAGCTCAAAAAATCATCGTGTCAGGAGCAGAGCTATTAGCGAAGAGACAAAACAGTGATGGCCATGGCAATTAGAGAGGAAGGGTGGCATTAGGAAACCTACTACTAGCCCATTAATTCCTTGAAATTGCAGGAGGGTAAAAAACTACCCCCTACTCCAAATGAAAAAATGCTTGGCATTGAAGGACAACGTCAATTTAAGATATTTATAAAAGGGAAAATCTAAAATTAATCTAAAATAAAAAATTCACTACAATATCGTGAGAGAAACGAAGAAAAAACCAAAACATTTTATTTTAAAAACTAAATCACTTTCAACCGAGGGGGAAGGTTTATTTATAGTATCGATCAAAATGTAGAGAATTAGCTGATTATTCAGTTAAGTACGTTATTATCACAAGCCATTTTTCGTTGTCCTCATATTCATTTTTAATTCTTAAAAGATGACTTTTACACGATCTGAATTATTATACAAAATCTGATGGTAATAAAAACTTATTCTTTATAATCCACTTACAATCAATTGGATGGTATTACTAACAGCTTAAATTTTTTTATAACGTGTGTGGCTTTGTGTGTTTTTTATAATCACCGTTATTAATGATTATTTGGAGATCGTGAGATGTGGTCTGGCGTAGGTTTTAGAAAAACATTTTGTTTATCGTGCCAACATTTCGATCTTTATTGAGATCATCTTCAGGGCCTGGGATGTATAAACATTGTTTAAATTATACAAATAAATGTAGGTTGTAATCAGGCAGAACCATTACCCATTCTTTCCCATTAACCTTTAACCTCGAAGAAGCCGACTTCTTATATAAAAATGTCTTTCTATACCGACTTCCTTCCCCACCCCTTCAAATCCCAACGAATTTACACTTTTACAATTTACAACCCAAACAAAAAACATTAATATCTCACTGGCACTCTCACCACTACACCCAATAATGACACATCTACACAGAAAACAAACAGTTTGGGTGAGTAGAAATACTTTGATTGAGTCTAAAATTCCTAGCATTGTATAAATTCACTTTTTTCACATCCTACATGTATTTGTATAATTTAAACAATGTTTATGCATCCCAGGCCCTGAAGATGATCTCAGTAAAGATCGAAACGTTGGCACGATAAACAATATGTTTTTCTAAACCCTACGTCACACCAGACCACATCTCACGATCTCCAAATAATCATTTTTTTATAACATTTCTTGTCTTTGCTACCATCTCAGTCAAAGTTGCACGGTCCAGTAGCTGTCGAAAACTAGGCCATTCGTAAGTTGTAGTAAATAGTTGCTAATAAATATTAAAGAATAAATTAAATATTAAACAATTGAGAAAATGTAACGGTAAAGATTAATAAAACTTATATTAAAATATTATATTCAAATGGTCCTGTGAAATGTTCTTGTAAAATCATAAGATGCTGAAGATGGAAAATTAGCCCGAACGTACAAATATAAAAAATTCAATATACAATTAATTGTAGTTTTCACGGAAAAAATTAAACAACACAAAAATTCGTTAAAAACCTATTAGATAAATAATAAATACCAATAAATAAATACTAGAAATGTTTATTTATCGTAACAAAATCTCAAAGGCATATAATTGTACGCAAGTCTTGTAAAAATAGGTTTAATTAACATGATGATTCTTCATTATAAATGTTTGATTTTGAATAAAGAAACCTATTAATAGATTACATTTTTTGATCTGAATGTTAATAAAATAATACAAAATTGTAGAAAACGCTTAAGTTGGTTTTAATAGGCTGTTTAAATAAGATATGCATCCTCCAAAATTGTCTTGAACTGTTGAAAATCAGGTATATTAGCTCCAAATACATACTATTGTATTTTATTATAAGAAAACAACAATAAATAAAAGTACTTACTCTTTTTGAACCTCGGTGGGTCTCAACCCGCGACTCTTCTCGGCATACGTGTTCCATTTCACACTTCTTCATTATGACCAAAAACAGCTTGGGATGAACTATTTCGGAAATCCGTCTTAGAATAAGCCATTGGGTGAAGGATTTTGAACAGAGCCAGGACAGACTCATGTCGATGCGATGTCCAGTAGTCGACTCCAGTATAAGCTTATTGATGAAGGAAGACCTATGGCCGAGATAGTATATGATATTGACTACCAACCGTTCGACGAAAGTCAGCAGCACGATGAAATCGCAGTACCACATAATGGCAAATAGTATCTCGTAGTAGTAGTACATGAACATGATGCATGCGAAAACTTTCTCATTTTCGTTACATAGTTCGTAACTGGTCTGACAATAATTTAAGCTTTTGATTTCTTGTTTGAGCGAGCTAAACTCCAGCCCAAGTGTTAAATATCTGTTGTCTAAAAATACATTTGATATGTAAACGCGAAGTAAAAAAAATAATAATAATAATAATTCGCATTGCATAAAACTCCATGCCCAATTGGAGAAACGTTTCGAGGCAAGGATGGTCTCAATACGCCTCTTATAACGTTTGGTATCTCTGTTAGAAATTTTCACTACTCGAAATTTTCCATTAGTGTGTTGAATTTGTGGAGAGTCAAGTCCCCTCGATGAAGATGGTAAACGCCGATTCAGTTTAAACGTAAACTTTTTCAGATTAGTGGGAATAAGAAACCCAACAGTAATTACACTTTTTTGCACCACGCTTTCCCAAAATTTAATTGCTACACAGTTCATAAAAATGTGTGTTATAAATACATAAATTGAGAATTGATACATCACTTTTGATCTTTCGAAATCCTCATAGCTGCTGGGAATATCTGACCCATTGATAAAGTTCAAAATTACTGTGTCTTGGAAGCAGTCGTATTTAAAGTTGGGGTTGCGTTCTCCAAAGCATTTCTTAACTGGCCGGCAGAGAAAGATCATAGATATAAGTGTGGCAAACATCAAATAGATCATCATCGGTCCTCTAAGAAATTTGATGACTGGAGTTTGAAGACTATCGATAAACCCTCGGTAACGTTTCGTCATTGTCCGACTCATCGCGACTGTCCGTTAGCTTTAAGTCGAAGAAAAAACAAATCCCCCTCCTGTTTCTATCCCACTTCCGTCAAAAATTTATCGCCGATTTACAATAATAATATTTACAAAAATACGTAATAACAAAAAAGAGTTTTTCTGATTCATGTTATAGTTCCACAACTGACTGTTTATTTCAGAACGTAGCATTTTTCTCATGTGACTCACTCACTCGGACTCTCGGGTGTTAAGTTTAATAATAATCGAATTTCGCTTTCTATCTGATGATCCGTCTTTAATACATGAACGATTAGCATGATTTCACTTTTAAGCGTGCTGTTGAGAACTGGAGTCATGATGATATTGATATTGTTGATAGAGTTTCAGACGATTTCCTAAATGTTTACATAATATACTGTCAGCTCATCTGTATCTAAACACTGACTCTGAGCAATCAGGATATGATATTATAAACCCTACCTTAAACTTGGAGTCATACGGTGTTAATTATCGTGGGCGTTTTTATAAAAGACGTACTTGTTTGTCTATTTTCTTGTAAAACTAACACTAAGTGTGGTTCCAAAGGTAATTTTCAAGTAGAATCTGCGGGTTCTATCTGAATTTTAATATGTGGGCACATTAAGCCGACCTGCTGGACCACTTTTTTCAAATTTGTAATACAATAATCAAGATAAATTTACATTATCGGGTTCTGAAGGAAAACTCAAACGAATCGATGAAGTTTTGAGTTTCTAGAATATTTCTTTAAAACGAAAAACAGTTTCAAAATGTGTGAAAAAATTAATCATATTCAAAAATTCATCGACTTGTTCTAGAGATATTGAATTCCTCCACAACCCGATAACTATCGTTTTAAAATGTCTCCAAAAAAAGGCATTACATTTCAAAAAAAAAAGTTGTTCAACAGGTTGGTTTAACGCGTCAACTTATAAAATTCTAATAGCGCCAGATAATTATATGTAAAAAATTACCTTTGGAATCATACTTAATTTTATATAAAAAAGACAGCATAAAAAAATCCATGTCTTTGATAACAACTCCTATGGTATATAATGCCATTATCGTTTTAACTATTCAATGATTGTTTTTTTTTATTGTAAAAAAATACTACAAATATTCTCAGGCAGTATGTTAAGGAAAACAGAAAGTTTAATAAGACGAAACTTATTGCTATTCATAGGAGCACCCAAACGATAGAAAAAAGTTTTTCACTTTTGGTAGTTTTCTTAAAAGTCCTGCAAAATTTGAATTCCCTATCTAACTTTTCTGTGAAACAGCAAAAGCCTAAAAACCACGTACACACAGCCTTCCTTTCAACAATAACATTCAAATATTGAAAGAAAACAGTCTACACCGTCTGTGCGTTCTTTTTACAATGCCAAAAACAATCTGGAAGAACTAACTGTTTTTGTCGAAGCAGATAGTTTTAGCCACAATTTGACTAATTGTTCTTCAAGCTAGTATATTAATTATTCAGAAATCGTGAGATGCGGTCTGGTGTGATGTAGGTTTCAGAAAAACATTTTCTTTATCGTGCCAACGTTTCGATCTTTATTGAGATCATCTTCAGGGCCTGGGATTTCCAAACATTGTTTACATTTAATAAATACATTTAGGATGTGGAAAAGTTAATTTATACAATGCAAAATATATTTTTTATATTCAATCAAAGTATTTCTACTCAGTCAAAGTGTTTGTCTTCTGTGTAATTGTGTTATTCTTGCGTGTCGTGTCGAGAGTGCCAGTGAGATTTTGCTATTTTATGTTTATATACGTTGGATTTTGAAGGAGTGGGGAAAGAAGTCGGTATAGAAAAGATATTTTTGTATAAGGTGAAAGAGCCGACGAAGAGAAACAATGTGTTGGTAATGGTTCCTGAATAATTATCGATTAACGGTCACTAATCACCACACATTTCTAGTATATTAAGAACAAAACTCATTTAGCAAAACTCATTTAATTTCGTCAGTAATTAAATTTTGATTCCAAAGTAAAAAGGTACGAAAATTGTTTAAAAAATAAAATTACTTCATTTGACGGAAGCAATAGATCAGTGTCAATAACTCAAACTAAAGAAGAATTTTTAGGTATATAAACCAAATGGTTAAGTTATCAAAGACTCTTCTTATACTGCCTAACCTTAGAAGGCTCAGAACCTTAGAAGAAATAACTTATACACCTAACTTTAGAAGAACATACAAAAGAACGTATAAACAACAAAAACGCAAAGACTCAATTATTGAGACCCTGAGAAATTAAACGTTCTGTAAAAAACGTGCTAGCTACTGATGGAATCAATTTAAAATTAAGCCTAAAATTTATATTTGTAATTTTCAAATATTACTCTTTACAGTGAAAGTTATTTCAGAATTAATTTAGTAGGAAAAAACTGTAATATATTTTAGATATTGTTTTGAATTTATTTATAAATTGAACAATATGCTCAATTAACAGTTAAAATTCATAATCGTTTGCGTGTAAATTTTTAATTAAAGTGTGTGAATAACTTGAACGATATTGATTCGTTGTTCGTCTTTAAATTTGATTTACGTTGTTTACGAGTGAGAAATAATGCCAGAATCCCCGCTTATTAATTGGTTCAAACAACCATGCCTTAAAGGTCTGTTCATTACTTTTATCACGACAAAGGGAAAAATATACTTTGATGAGCTCGGTAATTATTCAAATAGACCGTTTTCACGCGAACTCTTTGCCAGTAGTCAGACAAATAGATTAACCCAGTTCCAGCGATAAAACTCCTATTAGCAAGATTTAATCCCTCGTCCTTCATTAGGTTTACCTTTAAATTGTAAACTCGGTAAAGGTATATCAGTTGAGGAAAAGGCGGAATGTCTGTTTATAATTATGAAACTGGAAAACCTTTCGTTACGATTTGAGATAATTCAAAGACGATTCTACCAGTCGACATTTTAATTTAATCTCCATCGATCACCAGGGGGTTTAATTTGGCCTCCAACTGCCGTTGGATCATTGTCTCAGCATTATCGGTAATTACCATATACTTATACACTTAAATACACACACACACTTAAATACACTTATATACACTTAAAAACAATACTAGGGACGTCGGAGGCCGAATCAGTTAAAGCGTTGACACGGCACTTATCGCTAAAACGTAAAGGGCCCGGGTTCGAATCCATACATACAAATGGCCTTTTTCTCAAAAACACCGACACCCGACGGTTGATATGACCTCGACTGTTGTGAACCATAGTACAAAATGAAAATAATACTAACAATAACTTTATTTAATTAAAAATAATGGTAAAACATAACAAATAAGGACTCAAAAAGAAAAGAAGCTACGTTGTTCCCCACTTTACCACCAATTATTTTTCAAGGATTTAATTTATTTGGTACAGACAGCTTATTAAACTGGACCTATTTACTACACAAAGCAAGAGAATTCCCGTGAACAGATGTAAATACCTCGTCGTTATCCGACATGGCCAATTAGACTGAAAAGTGCAGATTGTACAATGTCTGAACTCAAGTGTAACCGAGATATTTCACTTTTCAGAATACTTCATCCTTTCAAACCTTTTTTCCGGCAATTTGTCTCGTGAAATGGTACCCCTAGTGTAAACAAGATTTCACCTATTGAAAGAGCACAGAAATTCCAATGAAGTTCATTAAAAATAGTTTCAAACTCGTGTTGAAAAGAATATATTCCTCGAAATATTGGCAATGGAACTGCGTGTTTTTTGCTTTCAAATTCATCTTATCATTGATATTTTATATACATGGTGTACCATGAACACAGACGTCAATATTTCATGATGTTGTTCTGCATATCAAATGGGACTGAAAAGCTCCAATTGTCCATAGTCTGATTCTCGATTGTATTCGAGAAATTTCACTTTTCGTGTTACTTAATTTACCTACTGTAAATTAGGTTTTACTAATTGAAAGAAAACTGAAAACACTATAAGATTTATTGTTTATTGTAATCCTAAATCTCTACAGACTCAAGTAGAAAGACAAACTTTTTATTTAAAGTTTAAGTAAGATTTTCTTGGTTCTTTAAATATTAAGAGTTCTGGCGCTTACAGAAATTTCTCACGTAAATATGTATTTAATGTCTGAAAAGTAGTTACCAACAATGTAAAATTAATTTTAATTGTAAAAACGTTGATTATCGGTTACAAACTGGCAAAAGTTAATCATTAAACCATTATTCTTAAAATTCTATACAAAATAATGAAAGTAAAACAAAGTAAACAAATAGACTCTTTGGTACAAAATTAAAGCAAGCTGCAAAGTATCAAAAAATTAAATTAAATGTTCAAAATCTCTCAGGCAGTTATGTTAAAAATTAAACGCATTTATTTATAACCCGGTAGTAAGGACAACATTGGGAATGTCAATTAGACACTTAATCCTTAATCCAAAACAAGGGAAAAGAATTTTTCAATGTTTAATTTTTACGGAATTTAAAATGTTTATTCAGTCTTATTCGAATTTTGGAACAATAAACTGTTTAGTTTCCATCTTTGTTTTCTTAATTTCAATTTTTAAACTTAAAAATGCCACTTAGCGCCGAGGGTGTATAGCGTGGTGTAGCACTTATTGATGATGGACGTTTCATCAGGTAGCTATTGCTATCTCAGTTCTCTACGAAACACTGCGAGACGGCGTTAGGCGTTTTCAAGAAACTGGGTACTGCCATCGAAGGCCCGGTTCTGGACGCCCTAGGGTAACAGAACCACAGGATGACCGTTTTTTGACTTTGAGAATTTTACGAAACTGGCACCTTACTGTTGTTCAAGAGATTCATCAGCTTCAGGAAGTTCGATGTTTACACATTTCTGAACGCACTACCCGAAGAAGATTAAATCATTATAGACTGATGTCTTTTCGCCCCGAAAGAGGACCACAATTTACCAGAACACATAAGAGTTGCACGGCTCGCATTTGCTTGAGAACACAGCCATTGGTATTTGGATAATTGTGCTTTTTATAGATGAGTATAGATTTGCTCTACGATCTCCATATGGTTGTGAAAAAGTGTGTGGAAGGCGAAATGAAATGTACGAAGCCTGTAATTTTTCCCAGATCCAACCTTTTCAACGAAGCC